GAATCATGATTAGAAAAAATTTTTGTGGGGCTGGCCTGGTGGTGTAGTGGTTAAGTTTGCACACTTATCTTCAGCAGCCTGGGGTTTGCCGGTTTGGATCCTACACACCAGACCTACACACCGCTCATCAAGCCATTCTGTGGCGGCATCCCACAGACAAAATAGATGAAGATAGGCACAGATGTTAGCTCAGGGCCAATCTTCCTCAAGCAAAAAATGGAGGAAGATTGGCAACAGGTGTTAGCTCAGGGCCAATCTTCCCCACCAATAAAAAAAAAAAATCTTTTTGTAAGATCAGTCTTAGTCATAATTTTGAATCTTTTTTCCTGTCTATTTCCTTCAACATAAACCAAATAAAAGTAGACATTATTTGTGTTGCTCTTATTCAGTTCAAGAATTCATAATACTAAAATGTTTTGCTATCTCTAGAAAAGAAATTGATTCAATTATTACTTGTTATTGTTGCAGAGTTAATTTTAATAAAGATATCAGATGTACTGGCAACTTTCACTAGACTTGGGAGGGATTGAAAGACAGGAGAAAACAATTCACCTAAGTCTAACTTACTTGACAATTGGCCTTCTTTTATTGTTTTACCATTGTTTGCTTGAGGTAGTAGCAGAGGTGGTGGCAGGTATATCGGTGGTAATGGTGGCTTGTTTTAGGAGTAGGGGGCTTGCTAAGGTGGTGGAGAAAGAGAGGGAAGAAAAAAAATTAAAGAGATCAACAGGAGACAAAGATGGTATAGCTCGAGATAATGGATTACTCTAAGAATTTCCAGTGACAAAATGAAGCAATGTTTTCCTCTACCTCGAGCTGATTCTAGTAATGAGACATCCAGGATGCCTTCCGAGTTGCAGCATGGTTAGACAACTTCTGAGTTTTCTTCTTCCTCAGAATAACCTGTTCACTCAAAATTACTCATCCTGATATTAGTTTTATGAATATATGTGACAACAGAAAACAATGAAATGTTTTCCTCCATCTTTTGTTCTTTTCTTCTTCTTAACAAGAATATTCACAGATCTTTGATTAAAAAACCAAATAACTGTATATACCTTAATATAAGATTCTTAAAAGAGAATGCTTGACATTGTGCCTAGACCAACCTTCTGTTGTGGAATGCCTAAGGAGTGTTCACTCCAAGCCTGACCAAGAAAGATCACATAATAGACAACAGGAACTGGAAGAACGAGACATTCCTAGGATGGACCCATTAATAGGATGACTGTATAATTTATCAGCCGAAGAGGGACACTTTGGAGAATGAAAGGGATGCTAATCAGAAGGGACACCTGTACAACAGATGTGAACCAATACTATCCAGAGAAAACTGGGACAGATGGCCTTCCTACCCACTCAGAGGGGGATAATTCTGTTTTCCTCCTTTTTTAGACTTTGAGCTTCCTTAAGATATGGAAAAATGGGGCATTTTCCACAAATTCTGGGAAGGCAGCTATCAGGGACAGTGAAGATATGATGCCTTAGCCATGCAATTATAATCTCCTGGGTCTCACGTACATAAGGGTTTACAGGAAGCTCCACAGACAAGACATAAACTTGAGCCACATATTGAAGGCTAGACAAGTTTTCAAAATAGGTTATGAATCTAGGGATTCAGCTTGGGCAGAAGGATACTACCAGGGGCAAATCTCTGGTTTACAAGTCAGACCCAGAGTTAAAGATGAAAGGGAAGGTCTGGAAGAGGGAGTAACCCAGTGCTTCTCAAACTTGAACCTATATAAGAATTGCCTGGGGAGCTTGCTGATCCTGATTCAGTCTGTGGGAAGAAGGGCCTGAGAGTCTGCATTTCTCACAGCTCCCAGATCATGCTGCTGCTGCATAGGCCACACAGGGGGTAGACAGAGAAATCCAAGTGAGCAATCCAAATGTTGATTCTGGGATGAGGAAGCAAGATGTGCAAGGCAGGGAAGGTGGGCAGCATTTTTCTCACCAGAGATTTTACTCAAATGCTGACAAAGGCCAAGCAGGTAAGAGAATGAGAGAAATGACGTTGGTGGTGCTGTGTGCAGAACTGAAAAGCACAAGTTAGTCTCTAAAGGGTAAATTCCCCCCGAGTCCAGAGAATTGTTTACATGGAAGAATGTGATCCCAGTGTTACCAAATTCCTTAGTTTTTCAAGAGAAGCCAGAAATTCAGATTTTATTTGTATTTTGTTTGTTTATTTTTTTGCCAAGGAAGATTCGCCTTGAGCTAACATCTGTGCCAATCTTCCTCTATTTGGTATGTGGGTCGCCGCCACAGCATGACTACCAGTGAGTGGTATAGGTCTGCACCTGGGAACTGAACCTGGGCTGCTGAAGTGGAGCACGCTGAACTTAACCACGAGGCCATGGGCTGACCCCTCCAGAATTTTTATTTATTTATATTTTATTTAGTATTTTTTGGTGAGGCAGATTGGCCCTGAGCTAACATCTGTTGCCAATCCTCCTCTTTCTGCTGAGGAAGATTGGCCCTGGGCTAACATCCATGCCTGTCTTCCTCTACTTTATATGTGGGATGCCTGCCAGAGCATGTCTTGATAAGCAGTGCATAGGTCCAGGCTTGGGATCCAAACCTGCAAACCATGGGCTGCTGAAGCAGAGCCCACGAACTTAACTACTACACTACTGGGCTGGCCCTCGGATTGTATTTTTAATGTGAAATCCGCTGGTTTGTAAATCCTGACTCAAATTACACATACATGCACATCCTATTGTGAGTCAAATAAATTGTATTTTCTTACTAGACTTGGCCTTCAGCTTGCAACTGCTTCATCCAAATAGTCAAAGTAGGTCAAATAGTCCAAGAGTCCAGAATATGGTCAATGGCAAGTAGAAGCTAGCACTTCAGGGCATCTGGGAGCTTACTGATATGACTGCCTGGCTCAACATTATGGATTAGAGTTCAGAAAGAGAGTGCATAACGAGGAAAAGGGCTCAGAACCCAAACATCAAGAAGATAAGTAAAGAAGACTCTTTAGAAATAGAGAGTTGATGTCAAGAAGTAATGGAGTAAGTTTTATTATAGCTGGAGTGAAGGTGGCCTTGAATGCAAGCTGAGGATTTTGAAATGTTTTCAATCAATGACTGAAAATCACTCACTAGATTGTTTTAAGTCAGGGCTGTGCCAGTTAAAATATGAAAGCAGCCCAGGCAAGCTAATAATTTGATACTTGAAATTTTGCTTTTTATTCTGTCCCCAAAGTTACTCCATCTGAGCAGACTAAGATTGTGTCTAGCTGAAGCAGACCCACATTGAGATGAGATTCCAACTCTTACGGCAGGATGTATGGTGAACAGAATTGGCTGGCACTGCATATTCTTTTTTTTTTTTTTGGATGTTCTAGCAGTCCCTTATAGATTGGCCCTCCAGGTGGTTGTCAGGGTGGCTAGCCCCTTAGTCTGACTGTATGCAAAGGAATGACAAAATCAAAGTGGATTCTTGGAGGATGATCTATTTTTGGAACAGCCTTGCCTGCAGAGGAAGAAGTGGGGTAGAGGCTGAGGAGCAGATTTGAGAGATAAAATGACAGGGGGATAGAGAGCCCTAAGAGACTGGTTGGTAGTGGCTAAAAAGCAAGATAGTGAAAGGATCCGTTCTATCTTTGAAATCTAGGTTTTTGCAAGTGTGATAGACAACCTAAAGTCATAAGGAGGAGCTTTTAGGTTATGCAGGTGTTCTAACTAAGAGAAAATGCAGGCCTGGTCTTTTTCCTGCACTGGCATTTAAAATTAAGCTAGTATTCACATGTTCTCTCCAGACTAAGGTAAGAAGATTCAGTCAAGGCTCAGCTTTGTCTCTCTGTTTTATTATTTGTCAAGATTATGGAGACAGACTTTGTATAAAACTGTCAACATCAAAACACCTTTATTCCTTCTCCCTAAAAAAGACAACACAATAAAGATATGACATAATCCTGGCTTATTAAGGATTTCTCAGAGCCCCACTGAAAGAGCAGGGATGCTGGCTGAGTAAATCCAAGCCTAGAGGACTCACCCTGAGGTGGGTGGATCAGGGGGCAGCAGAGCTAGAAATGTTATTGCAGTGGGAAAACCTTAAATAAAAGACCTCATTAAACTCAGGTGGCAGTTTTTGTAAATTTTTCAAATGCAGCTCAGAAATTGCAGAGATTAAGCATAGTGAGAGCAAAACAGAACCATATAATAGATGTTAACCTTTATTGACCACGTAGTACATTCCAGGTGATTTCATATCAAAATTATTTATATAAGCCAACTATAATGATAAATTTCAACTACTTCTTAATGATGCCCTAAAACAGAAACCCATAGTTTTATACCTAGCAAAGCACCGAATTCTATTAAAAGTCTCAGTTCTGTTGAGTATCCCTGTGTCTCCCCAGGAGCTCAGCTGTCTTTCTAAAAGACAAGGCAGAAGGCTCTTGACCTCCAACTCTATGTCACCCAGGAGTTACTTACATCATCCATGCCACGTAACTTGTCGCTGTCCTTCTTTCTCTGAAACAAAGTACAGCAAAAATTTTCGTCTAGGTCGATTTCCCCCTTTTAGTAGAAGGAGAGGAAGGCAGTTCCCACCCAACCAGGCACCAAGGAATACAATTAAAAGGCAGGTGTGTCCTACCCCAGGGGAAAGGCAGTAACTTGGTTATTTCTGCACTCCAGTAGAACTGGGAGTGCATTTCATAAGCCAAATAAGGTGAGCGCAAACGTCCATATGCACTGATATAAGCACACAAAATTGACTATCTGCTGTTACCTGTTTTGAAGAAAATGTGAAGGAAACTTAAGGGATGAGAATTCTTTTTATGTCTTTGTTTTTTCATGTGTTTTAAATTTTGGTTCTTAGAATCCCTAAGAAATGGTTATTTACAGCCCAACTCAAAGGTGCAGAGGCCTTCAGAGTTTCTTCTTACTTTCTCTGTGACACAGCTCCATGCAGCAAATGTGGTTGTGATTTGAATGATGATGTCCCAGCCTCATTATGTCACCTTGTGTTTTTGCCTTTGTTCTTTCCAGGAAGTAGAATGTGCCTACGTACTCTTTGTCGTTGCCATATTTTGGCTTACAGAAGCTTTGCCTCTGTCCATCACAGCCTTGCTGCCTGCGTTAATGTTCCCAATGTTTGGGATCATGCCTTCCAAGACGGTAAGCCTCTTGCAACTGTTTGTCTTAATTAGATTCCTTATTTTGTGCTGATATTTCCATTGAGAAAAGTTATATTTAAAGGGAGCAATAATCCTGTTGATAAGGCTTCTACATAAGTTCCAAACTTCCAGTTGTTTCTCTCCTCTAGAATTCTACATATATGACAAAACAGGACACAGGCTGTGGCTTCTTGTGTCATGCCTGTCAGTAGGAGAAACGCATGGCCAATCTTCCCAGGTTGACATCTATGCCTGGTGCCTTCCTCCCAACAAAAGGGCCAACTCTTTCACATCCTACATAAGATTTTCTATTCAGCAGAGTTCAGTCTCACACAGTGTTGGAAAAGCAATTTTTGTTTTTAATGAAGAAAAAGCTTCTGTGTTTTCTTTTCCAGAAACCTGCCATTTCAAAACATAAAGCCAAATTAACTTCTGCGTGTATTTCTATTTTGTTCTTGCTGAGAGAAGTTCATTCATGCTGAGAGGTGTTTCTTACCTTCATACAATCTAAAGGTACCCATCTGAAGAAAATGGATTCAGTTTCCCGTTAAAAGCATGAAATGCATTGAAACCAGAATATCCATCTCCATGCAGTCTCCAGCAACCCAGCACACAACTGCCTAAACCACAGCTGAAATAGTCTCAGGAAAGATGTCAAGTTCATGATACCAGTCCGCGTAATTTATTACCTTTGGACTTCTATCTTCTGCCAAGGTCCAATATTGTTATCGTGAAGTTCATCTTTCTTGTAACGTGTGTGGGGATTTTTCTTTCTAACTAACTCTTGATTCAGCTTTTTTTTTCTGCGAGAGAAGCTATTCTCTTCCTTACTCTCATGTCATTCTTCCCCGTTTTGGAGTCCAGGCCATCTTTTTGCGTTTCTGATCCTCTCTGCTCCTCTTTTCTTACTGTATTTTTCCATCCATCAGAATCTTGACTCTTTCTAAGCACCATTGATTTGAAAGAGAGTGTAGCCAGGGCTGTACTTTAGTTCCTTTCATCCCCAGGCTGAAGCTCTGCTGCCCCACAGAATCCAGAATCTATAATTTAAGAAGTTTCTCAAATGCTACAACATGCTAGATGGCTCTCAATAAAGGAAATATTAAAAGAAGGGGTTGGCAAGTTCTCAAAAATAGGGTGTCAAATTATTAACCCCCTGTCCTGCTCGCTTGGGTAGTCCTACCTCCAGAGATAATTAAGTTTAACAATCACATATTTGTCTCCTATGATTTAATAATAATCAATCAAACAGACTACATTGATTTTTTAAAAGAGGCTGAGATAGAACCAGGATTAACTGGAATCATGGGGCATTTCTGTAACGAGCAGGCTAGAGGGAGACATGAGGAAAAGGGTGCCTACGAAGGCCTGGCTTTGTGGGAGCTGCCGAAGAAATACCTCTGCTTCCTTTCAGCATGTGAAGGCTCAACTAGAGGCAACAAAATTCTAGGTACCAATGGCAGTTGCATTACTCAGGCTGCTCATGCCTGTCCAAGAGTCCATTATCCACCAAAGTGTTGGCATCAGACTGATTTAACAGTTGTAGAATGTTAGACTAGGAAGGGTGTTCTTCTGGGTCATTTCATCCTGGGCAGGAATTTCCTTCCACAATATCTCTTACAGACGAGATCACTCAGAAGTACTTAAGTGGTCTTGTTTGTGGGCCTAGAATACCCCACAAGGAAATCCATACCATTTTTTAATAACTTTAACACTTAGGCAATGCAGCTTTATCGAGCTCAAGTCTGAAATTCAGTCACTTTGACTCTTTCAACTTTTCTCTCATATCTAAGATTCCACAAATAAACCTCATCTTTCTTCCACATGATAGTGTTGCTTGGATTTGAAAATAAATATCATTTCTTCCTTAAGTCTTCTCACCTTCGGTCTTTATGGTTTCCAGACTTCAACTCCTTTCCTCAACCTCATCACCCCTACCTCCTTGTTTTCTCTTCCTGGAACTACCTCTAGTTTGTCAATGAGACTTAAGGACTAAATAGTTAATAATTGTAACTAATGTCTGTCACATAGTAAGTACTCGATATATGTTTGTTAATATGATTATTATTTGTTATTATTATTGACAAAAGAGAACAGATGACTCTAGAAACATTCTGACTGCTGCAAAGCTAAATAAGTCTATCATCTCCCCTCTGGCATTTCAGCCTAAATTTGTTTTAAACTTTATGTGACCTTCTTCACCTATTAAGCTTAATGAGATCTTACAACAAATCAAAGTCCTTAGGACTTTTAGTGGAGAAAACTGTTTTTCAGTCTTGTGATCCTCTTTGGAGACAAGGCAACTGACCTTTTTCTTGGAAATAGCTGACCAAAGCTGCAGGGAAAGGGCTAGAGAAGCTCAGAAGGCCTAAGCTTAAAACTTGACATTCAGCACTAACCGCTTGAATGATCCTGATCATGTACCTTAATAACTCTTTTTTTCTCTTCTATAGAGAATGATAATGCGGCACAATTCAAGGGTTGTTGTAACAATCAAATCAAATAATATATATGAAACACTGATACATACTAGGTATCAAATATTCTTATGAGTTTTAATATAAAGTTTGTTTGATGGTGTTAAACTACCATTCCAGCCTATGGAGCATCTTGGAATCTCAACTCTGTCATTGGGGAGACTACCATGTCTTTTGTATCCTCATCTAAGCTCATTGCCTTACACATCTCTCTCTTTGGCCATCATAGTTTTAACCTTACTTTAACTATTTATTAAGCTAATGCTAAATACCTATAACTAACTGAACACATTTTGGTATTGAAGAATACCAATAAATATTGAATTTTTCTCATATATGTTGAATAAAATCTGAAATACTAAATAGTGTGTCAGATTAGATATTCCAAAGCAGGTATTATTATTATTATTATCAAAAATATATTTATATATAAATTTTACATATGTAAATGTGAAGATACACACACACACATATATGTTATATTACATATTTACTCAGTCATTCAATAAATGTTCATGTGCTAGGACTCTGTCAGGCACTTGGGAATACATCAATGAACAAAAACAGACAAAATGTCTTCTGAGGAGAAAAGAAACAATAAACAATATACCTTAATGAATAGGTAAATTATATAACGAGGTAGAAGATGATTGGTGCTATGGAAAAAATGCAACAGGATAATGAAGATCAGGAGAGGGTTGCAGTTTTAAATAAGATGATCAGAGTAGACTTCAATGAGGTATCAATACCCGAACAAAGATTTACAGGAGATGAGGGAGTTAGCCATTTGGGTATCTGGGGAACAACCATTGCTGAAGGGGAAATACCCAGTGCAAAGACCTTAAGGCAGGTATATGTCTGCAGTGTGACTGCAGTAGAGTGAGCAAAGGGGAGAATGATAGAACATGATGTCAGGGAGATAATGTGAAGAGGGACTAGACCATCTAGGGCCAAAGTAGGTCATTGTAAGGTTTTTAACTCTGAATGGAGTGAGACCCTTTAGAGAGTTTTGAGTAGAAGAGTGACATGATTGATTTGACTTTTATTTTAAAAGGATAACTTGGGCTGTTGTGTTGAGAAACAAGGTAGAAAGAAGGAGACAGATGGTAGGTTATTGTAATAATCCAGGTGAGAAGCCATGGTAATTCAGACCAGGGGTAGTGAATATATTTATTGATATATTTTTAAGGTAAAACGAACAAAATTTCCTGAATAATTTGATATGCCATATGTGATAGAAAGGAGTCGAGGATGCCTCACAGCTATTTGACCTGCCAACTGGAAAAATGGAGTTGCCATCAATTGAAATGGGGAAGACTATAGGCAGATTAGGAGAAAGGCTGACACCTAGAGTTTAGTACCGAACATTAAGTTTGAAATACCTATTTGACATTTAAGTGAAGATGTTGAGTAGGCAGTTAGAAACAAATGAGTCCAGAGTACATGAGAGAGAGCTGAGCTGGAAATACAGATTCGAGAATCATCAACATATAGATGGTATTTAAAGCCCTAGGATTTGATGAAATCATTTAGCTAGTGAGTGAAGATGGAAAAGCAAAGAGGACAAAGAACTGAGTTCTGGAGAACTACAACATTAAAAGATTGACGAGAAGAGAAAGTACTAGCAAGGAAGACTGAGAAGGATAGGTTATTGATGTAGGAGGAAGACCAGGAGAGGGGACTTGGAATCCAAGTGAAGCAAATACTTTAAGGATGAGGTAATGATTAAACGTGTCAAATCTGTTAATAGGTCAAATAATGTGAACACTGGAAATTGACCATCGGATTTAGCAATATAACATAAGTAAATATTTTTTTACTTAAAAACAATAAAAACAAAATATAGGCTTTATAGTCATAAACATCATAACTGACAAAGCACTTTTTAAAATTCACAAATTTGACACGAAGTATTATTTAACTTTTGTGGATAAGTATATTGACGTGTATAAAGGTTGCTGAACCGGTAAATTACATAGCTAAGAGAGAACCCAGGTGTTCTGATTGCAAAAGTCAGAGTTTTTTCATCATGTTTCTTTGATGAAATGCCATTTTGAGACAGAAATATAACTACTTTGATCTTGCAAATAGTTTTAAATTTCATCAGGAATTTTATTTGACAGACCAATTTTTCCTTGAGAGTAGTTATATTTATTAGTGTCATTTACAAACCAATAGCACCTTCTATTATTACCTCCTGTACAAGTAGGCTATAAACAAACACATCTGCTTGTGTTCTTCTACAAATATACTAACTCTGATGAAAACCAAAGAACGCGTAATATAATGGAAAACAGAAAATGTGAAATTCCTTCCTAGGTTTACCAACTAATTTTATTTAGACAGTTGGGCTGTAGGCCATAGTTTGTTCACAAAGTCTATTAAGGGACTGACAAACTATGAGTCTGAGCACCAAATCCAGCCTGCTACCCAATTTTTGAAAGAAAGTTTTATTAGAAACACACACACCATGGTCATTCATTTACATATTGTCTTTGGCTACTTTTGTGCTACAAAGACAAGTTGAGTAGTTGTGATAGAAACCATTAGGCTCACAAAGCCTAACATATTTACTATCTGACCCTTTACCGACAAAGTCTGCCAACAGCTGGTATAATCTCAAGAGATTATAACAAGAATATCTCGGGGTCCTGGACGTCTTTCTGTGTTTAATCACTCATCACTTACTAATAATGGCTTGCTTTTATTTGTTCCTTTGTATTTTTTAAGTAATTCTGCATTTATTCCCCCATTTAATTCTCAGACTATTGGTGAAATAGAGTCAATGGGGCTTATTTTCATGAGCAAAATTGCAAGAGATAAGGGCAGAGGAAAACTCAAATGTCTATTCATCTTTCAATAATGAACTCAAGTATCAAGTCCTGTAAAAAGACTTTCCCAATTCCTTTAGGAAAAAAGTGGCAATTCACTCTTTGAACTTCAACTATACCTTGAACAGGTAGCTCTCATGCACCAATAATGTTATTGTACTCTTTGTTACTTGTTTTTCCCTCATCTAATAACTGGAGTCTAGAGTCTAGAGATTTATTAATTCAACATCTATTGAGTACCAATATGTTCCCAGCATGTGTTAAGCCCATAAATACAATGATCAATAAGACATGTCTGTGGCTTCAAAATATGTCTAATCAAATGAAGGGAATAGCTAAGTAAGGAAATAATCACTATATAGATTAAGATGTGCTATAACAAAAGAAAGTACCATCCAACCAAGCTTAGAGTAATCAGGGAAGGCATCTTGGAAGAACTGACATTTGAGTTCATCTATGAAAGAAGATTAGGAGTAGCTAGGGTGAGAGAAGAGGATCATTCCAGGTTCAATGACAAGCAAGTGTTAAAGCATTTCTGTGTTTGGGGAACTACACATGTAAGGGGAAATTGGTAGAGTACTGAAAGGCTAAGCTAGAGAGGTGAGATGGGCTCGAATGAGGAAGAGTCTTGTAAGACATGTTGAAAAGATTGGATTTAATCTTAAAAGAACAGAGTCCATGGAAGGAGTATAGGAAGGACAATGATGTGATCAGATTTACGCTTTAGAAAAATGACTATGACAACAGTAAGAGGTGGTTAGAAAAAGATAGTTCAGACAGTAACCGGGTGAGAAATGGTCAGGAGATTAATTAAGGTAGTAATGTGTGAAGAGAGAAAAATAGACAAATTTAAAAGATATGGAGGAACTAGAAATAATAGGACTTGATGACTAATACACACGTATTGGAAGTGAAAAACGAATCATGGCTGACCCTCAGGTTTCTGGCTTGGGCAATTGAGTAGATGGAAGTTTCATGCATCACAAAAGAGGCAACAAGAGGAAGAGCATGTTTGAAGGATGGGGAGTGAGAAGATAAGTATTATTTTGGACATGTTGAGTCTTTAGATGTTTGTGGGAAATTCTAACGGTAATGTCCAATTGGATACACTGGTCTGGAACTCAGAAGACTTGTCTGTCTAGATATAAAGATTTTGGTGTCTTTGGCATTCATTCAGCAAATATGTATTGAATGCCTACTATGTGCCAGATATTATTTTAGACACATAGAGGTAGAGGCTGAACCCATAAGATTCAACAATCAGGTGTATAAAAAAAGCAGACTGCAGACAGAACCTTGTAGAATACCAGCATTTAAAAGAAAGGCAGAGGGAAACTAACTTTCGAAGTAGGCCAAGAAGAAAAACTCACAGAGGCAAGGATAGAACCACAGAGCAAAAAAAAAAGATTCACAAGTCTGGAAGCATTAGTAAATTCATAAATTTAATACTTAAACTGAGAGTAAGAGCGAGAGAGTTAGGAGGATAGGAGTTTGGGAACAGAGTATAGACAATTGGGATTTAGGAGCTCAGAGACCATAGCTTGTTCACTGACTTTCTCCCTCCCTCCCTGACTCATTCATCCAATACTATTTACTGAGCTCCTACTCCGTGCCAGGACTGTGCTAGGTGTCAAACAAGCAGTGGTTAGCAAAACAGATTCCTGGTCCTCATAGAATGTGTAGTATGATAGCGAAGACATGCAATAAGCAGGTAAACAAACAGTATTTACACAACATGATATGCTATGAAGAAAACAAACATGGCTCGGTGATACAGAAAAATAGCAGGATCTATTTAGAAAAGCTTGATATTTGAGAATTGAAGAGGTGCAAAGTGGGAAAAACATGTCAGGCATTTATACCTGCATCACCTGTTCCTATAAAAGTTTTGGTGCATGGTGGATGCTCATTTACTGTCAGAGTAATTTATAAATGAAATAATTGGGACATTGATATAATTATTTATTTTCTATAATGCAATTACTACAAAATGTAAAGAGATAAATATAAACTTTGAAAATCATAATAAATTAACTTTTCATAAAACATAAAGAAGATATTCACTTGTCTACTTTTAATTCCAAGGGTAATTTTCAATGTTTACTTTCTTTTGAAACCAAGCCAAGCTTAGTAAGCTATATTAAAAATGCAGATACAATTTAAGATAGTAAAATCGTCATCAGAATTGATTTTCCTATTCTTTCATGGTTTCATAACATTAGAATAGTTTTGCTCCAACTTTTCCATTTCTTCTGCTAGACATTATTTGATTTTTTAAAGAGATATTTCCTCTTATAATCCTCTCCTTACAGCACGGCATTGTGATTTATTGTAGCCAAGCATTTCCTAAGGTCATAGCTCTTGAATATCAGTCCCACGAGGTTCTCCAGCTAAAAATATTAAAAATGAGGTTTTTATGATTAGATAAGTTTGAAAAATATGTAGTATACAGAATACCACTCTTTGAGAGTGACAATATATGTTGGCATTTAAAGGTTTTGAGGAGGCCTACAGGAAAGAAAAGTCTAGCATTTCAAAACTCTAGATTTTCTAAACTCATTTTACCACAAAATCTTTTTTTTTTTTTGAGAAAAATATTATGTTTTTTTCATAAAAAACCTACCATACTTCAGAGCATTCTTTGGTAAACGTTGCTGCAGATGGTTGCCCAAATTGTCTGTGCACTGTACTAACCTCTGAATGGTGTTAGCTGAAAATGACTTAAAATATTGGCATCTATTCAAGGGTATTTATTTTATAATAAGTAATCTTAAAGATAAACCATTCAAAATATGAAGGAGTGACTTTGCAGTTATGGCGTAATGGGTGGTAATGAAGATATTGGTAAGTTGGAGGCTTGACTCAGGACTTTCCCAAATCACAGTCATTGCCAGTCTATGGTAGGAATATAAACCAATCAATCCCATTTTACAGATGGAGAAATTAAGGTATGGAAGGCACTTGGCTGATGTTACTCAGCTATTTAAAAATTCAGTGTCCTGGGTACTTTTTTTCCTATGTATTTTTCCTTAGCACTGCTATTTCTTGGTAAGAGTATAGAACATATTTAAATTTGTATTCAAACATATGTATACTTCTCTCAATTAAATAGAAAGATTATATAGTTGAAGGTCAAAGTTAAGATCAGCAAAATAATGTCTTCTTTGTGCAATGTTATTTTTTTCCCCACCACATAAATAACATGGATTTAATTGTAATTTCAGGTGGCATCTGCTTATTTCAAAGATTTTCACCTACTGCTAATTGGAGTCATCTGTTTAGCAACATCAATAGAAAAATGGAATTTGCACAAAAGGATTGCTCTGAAAATGGTGATGATGGTGGGTGTGAACCCAGCATGGTAAGTACTGAGTTTACTGTTCCAGGTTTACATTCCGAACAGACCATTTTTTTTGTGCAGAGCAAATAACCAAATAAGTAATGCACATCCAGGCAATCATTTGTTTGACTTTTTGTTCTCTGCAGATGTGAAAGTAATATAAAGTGTACTTGAGTTGTAGGAGGGAAAAAAACAACTTTCCTTTCACTGCAGGTCTAATTACAGGGAGATTGGAATAAGTGCACACAGCTCTCTCACCTTTTATGCACCATAGGAATCAAAGCTGAGAGAAGCCTTGAACCTCAACAGACAAGATGGATAGACCTCAGAGTAGATTTCAGTGCTATCTTGTTTATTTGGCTGATTACACATTCAAGACTTGTTCAAGAGCATCCTTGATCATCAGGGAGGATGTTAAGAACCAAAGACAAAGACATTACTGACAAAATACAAATGTGTGCAGAAAAATTCCAAGGTGAACATTTTTCTTTTTAAATGAACTGTTGCAAAGTGAAACATTTGATTAAGAAGTTTCATCTATAGAATGTGAAATCACTCATCTGACTGATTTTCCCCACTGAAATGAATGGGTTTTTTCAGCTAAATTAATTGGCTATTTTAGTTTTAATTCCAGCTCTTGTTAAGAACATAGATGTGAGCTAAAAAAAATTTCCAGTGTCATAACTATTTGCATAATGGCATTATGTTTTAAAGCCTGAGATAGTTCTTCCTTGCTTATCTTTCTTTGAAAATAAGAAAATTGTATGGAATTCTGTTGCCTAATTCATTCTAGGGTATAACCACAACTGTGTTTATCATTTATGGAGCAAATTGTTTTGTTAAATACAAAAACCATTGAATAAATCAGATGAGATGAATTTTTAAAAATTTTTTGTTACTTAAAAATTTTATGACATGTAATTTTTAAGGGCATTTCACTCTTAAAATGAAACGGTGTTCTGTGCCTCTTGAGGTGCTGTAGAAATGTGTCTCTTTTCCTTGACCATCTGCTCACTGACCCCAGGGGATGGGATAGTGCGCTGCACAGTGGAGAAAGAATCCTGTCCATTGTACCGCTAAGTGGTTTTTCAATGTAAAGCATTTTCACCACACAGAAGCTTTATCTGATCCCAACCTTTTTTTACTGGAAGATATCATGTCTTGCCAATGCCTTAAGTTAAAGTGTTTCTAGGTTTCTTTTTGTTTGTTTATTATTAAGAATAATTTCTTCTTTAAACTGATTTCTAAAAAAGTTTCATTTTGTTTTAAATATTTTATCTTTTTTTGTGAGGAAGTTCAGCCCTGAGCTAACATGCATGCCAATCCTCCTCTGTTTTTGCTGAGGAAGACTGGCCCTGGGCTAACATCTGTGCTCATCTTCCTCCACTTTATATGGGACGCCACCACAGCATGGCCTGACAAGCGGTGCATCGGTGCGCACCCAGCATCCAAACTCGGGCTGCCAGGAGCGGAGCGCACGCACTTAATCGCTAAGCCACGGGGCCGGCCCCTATTTTAAATATTTTAGAAAATGTTTACCTTATCTGAAGTTGAAACTTATAGTGTGGAATTTTTCTTGTGATCTATTTTTAAAGGGAGTCAGAGAATTTTGTAAGTGTCTCTATACAGAAAGATGTGCTTCCAAATGATTTTGTGGGACCTCCTACTCAAAATGGATCATGTTTCTTCTCAAGTGCTATTTTGAAAGTTTATAGACATGACTTAAAATCGTATAGTCCTAGGTATGTTATTTTTAATGGAGAAGAACTACTCTATTTATAAGAGAAGACAATATAATATACCCAGTTCTTGACAACAGGCAGGGATGTTGGATTCAGGAGAGCATAAATAATAGAATCTACAGAAAATTCTGAAACCTCATTTTAGCTAGTGATTTTAACCATTTCCTCCACCTACCGTCTATTGAACCAGAGTAGTGAACAAGTAAAAAGCAGATTTATAAATTTTAATCTCTCTGCTTGCCCTTCTGCCTCCTTGGCACGCATACTAATAAACAGATGTGACCAAAAGATTGAAGAAAGAGTAAGGGACCCTAAATTCACAAGTTGATTGCACCACATCTTACTGGTATTTGAAGGTGTGTCATCTGTAAAGGGCATTCAAATATTGTCATAATACTATAACCTGTTATACCATCTACCAACTTGCAGTGTGGCTATGTTTAGTCGTTTTTCTGTTTTGGGAGAGAAGATTCTTATGGTTTCTGGAGCCATATCTCGTAAGAACTCCACTCTTATATGTGACACTTTGATTTCTACCTGGCTATGACTGTCCTCAGAGTTTGTCTTCTAGGGGGAACCTTAACCTTCTATGTTTTGGAAAAATGAATTCCCAACTCACAAACAGCATCCTTTACAGTTCACCAATAGAAAGCTAGTGAAACTAGAGAGCATAGCTCATACTAAAGGCCCTCTCATTTCAGGCTGACACTGGGGTTCATGAGCAGCACCGCCTTCCTATCTATGTGGCTCAGCAACACCTCAACTGCTGCCATGGTGATGCCCATTGCGGAGGCTGTGTCGCAGCAGATCATCAGTGCTGAAGCAGAGGTCGAGGCCACTCAGATGACTTATGTCAATGGATCAACCAACTACGCACTGGAAATTGATGGTATCGCATGTTGATATGGCCAAAGTGGGGTTTAGTCATGGGAGCAATAGACATAAACTCAAGAATTCTGGATTATATTTTGAATTAACTGTCCATACATGTGTGATGTGAATTTATGCTTGCTCTCTCTATATTTATACAAGGGAATTACATTAACCAAATATTTCACCTTAAATTAATGGTTGAATTTACATTCACTGGCAAAAGGGGAAGAATGTCCCCTTTCTATCCTCCAGCCAGTCTGATGGAATTCTCTCTCTCATGTCTTTATCAGTAGACCCCCAGGTTATTCTTTCATACTGAAATGACTTTTCTGCATAATATTGGGAATCTTTAATTCCTACATTCTGTTTGGAAAGAGCATTACATTTTACCGTGGTTATTTCTGGCTCTGATAAACTGCTCTGATGCAGTGAAAAAATATTTGGGGGATATTTGTATTTATAGAATACTTTATTAAGATAAATGTTATGTCAATTCACGTGAATTTGTTTATTTTCAGTTTCTAGTAATGCTTCCATCTTCACACACAAACACAGACACACACATACACACACACTGATAACCCTTTATTTAAATTATTTTTCTTTTATTTAATGTTTTGCAGAAAGTGTTAATGAACAGGAAACAAATGAGAAGAAAGAGAAAACAAAACCAGATCCAGGGTAAAGAATATTGACATTTTGATTACGATTTTCCAAATTACATTTTAATAAAATTATAGAGTGGATCAATTTATTTTTCAGATACGATAATGATGCAGGAAACATTTCAAGCAAGATGGAGCCGGAAAAGGTACATTAAATTTGATTCTTTCTAAGTAATTATACATGAAATTATATTAGATCTGCAGTTAGACATGAACAAATTTTAAAACCTGTTACTTGCTTCCTTGTCTATAAATTACTTTGCTTGCATAAGTCAAAGCATGGTGTAATGGTTTGATAAGCCTTCACGGATAGACTGAAATCAACATCCTGATAGGAAACATTTTAGGCTCTGAAAATTAGCATCATTATTTTCTCCTTTTACTAGGTTCATGGTGATGGCAGTTAACATATGTAGTTTAGAGAAATATAATTCTAGTCTCAGAATATTGTTTCATTTTCTTATTAAAATCTTGCTGCCTTTTCATTAGGAGCATCCTCATTTCTTCCAGGTTATGAACTTAGAGCAACTCCCGTTCATGTAGTTACAATCCAGTTATCTTTATTGTCCCCATTGCCTCTAAAAAATTCAATGCAGTTCATGAGTTGCTACTGTCAAATACAGATGGAGGAGTTGTAGCCATTCTAGCTATTGAAGGAAAGAAGGAGACTTCTGTAAACTATCCCATAGACTTCATTTCCCTGGAATAAATCAATATAAAAATACTATACTAAGTTGTATTGGGAGCAATATATCTCGAGACCACTGAAAAATAATCCTGCATTGAAATAGTCTTACAGTAACCATGACATTAGAAATAAGAGAGTAGAGCATATGTTCCTTCCTCAGGCTATAATGCATTAGCGTGCAACTCAGTAGGAAAAAGAAAACTCTCTCATTATTTACAGAAATCTTCAAGGAAAGAGCAATTGCTATGTAAAGAGAAAATGAATACAAAGATAAGTTTTAGGGCCTGGCCTGTGGCCTAGTGGTTAAGTTCTGCGTGTGCTGCTTCAGCAGCCTGGGTTCCTGAGCCCAGATCCCAGGCACGGACCTACACTACTCATCAGCCATGCTGTGGCGGTGACCCACATACAAAAAATAGAGGAAAGTTGGCCACAGATGTTAGCTCAGGGCGAATCTTCCTCAAGCAAAAAGAGGAAGATTGGCAGGGCTGGCTCTGTGGCCTAGTGGTTAAGTTTGGCACACTCCGCTTCAGTCGCCCAGGTTCGTGGGCCTGGATCCCGGGCGTGGACCTATACCACTCAGCAGCCATGCTGTGGTGGTGACCCACATTCAACATAGAGGAAGATTGGCACCATTGTTAGCTCAGGGCGAATCTTCTTCAGCAAAAAAAAAAAAAACAAAAACAAAAAAAAAAGAGATAAATTTTAAGCCACTAGCTATGGTATACATTAAGAGTTTCAAAGATGAGAATTGAATATATATTTATGAAAACATGGGCATCTTTAGGGATAGAAGTAATTCTTTTAAACATAGAAAATTAACTGTATGCCAAATTTTACAAATTTTGTAAATTTTGTAATATTACAAAAGGATACATTAGAAATGGGCTTTAAAAACTGTTATGAAAATTGACAAGCTTAAATAGAATATACTTGTACTCAGTAACTTTCTTTCAGTCATCTTTAGAAATCCAGTTCTGTAGCATGATGCCTAAATTTTGGGTCAAGGCCCTTCAAATTAATTTGACATCCAATACTGTCCTAGCCATTATAGGAAGGTCTATTGATGAAAAGACCTTCTCCTTACTGTAAGCAGCTCCAAGTCTAGTGAGGAAGATGGACTTAAAAAAATGTGTGACATAATACCACAACAAAGGCATGCACGGAGGCCAAGTCTTTCAGAAGCAGAGCAACTAGCTCAATCTGGGCATATTGCAGGGAAGGAGTAAGAGGTAAAGAGAATTGAGTCTGAAAGGAAGATGGTGTGTGCAATCAGAAGGGTGCAAACTCCATGCCTGCAGGGACCATGTCTGCTTTGTCCACCATTTAATCCCGTAGCACATTCCATTGCCTAGTACAGGGTAGGTATTCAATAGATATTTATCTTATTAATTAATGAATAAGTGAAAAAGGAAGTGGTATTCCAATCAGAGAATGCAACAAATTCAAAGACCCAACCATATAGAAAGCAGAGCTTTTTCAGGAAACGTCTTCAGTGCAGGTGCTAGGGATGAGTTGTTGTGGAAAGTAAAACATTTGGATAGGTTGGGCCAGGTTAAAAATAGCTGTTGGTTCCATTCGAAGGAGTTCAGAGCTTATCTTGGGGGGAATAGGGAGTTTTGAAGTTAGGGGGCAGCATGGTAAGTTCAGCCCATTGAGAAGCTTACTGTGGCAACCAAGTGAAGGGCAGAGGGTATGGACCTAACTAGACTTTTTGATTAATCAGACTTTGGGGATGAGAGAGAAAAAAGTGTAGAAGATGCCTCTCCTACAGTAAACTAGGTAAAGTTAGATTTTGATGCCACTGATTGAGATGGGGAACACAGAGAGGGGAATAAGGTTTTGATGGGGAAAAGTAAGATAATCTGGGGACATTTTAGGCAATAAAGATGGAGATCTGGGTTTGGGAGAAGAGAGCAAGGCCTTTGAACAATGAATCTACAGTCTTTCTAGGACTCGCATAAAAATTCAGCTTTATGTAAAAGAAAAATTAAGAGATAACATTTTGCCCTACAAAAGTGTTCTTTATAAGAAGAGATCGCATGGAAGTATTATTTTACATATTGTACATTTAAGATATGTTTTGATTTTTAACAATTATACATCTCTTCTCAGGCATAAACATATTGTATAGTTTGTTATAATTATAATAAATTGCACCTGTTCTTTGGCAGGTTTAAACTAGATAACAACATTATGTGGAAGAATCTATATCTACTTGATATAGCTATAAAATAGACGGAATATTTACATTCATAAATATAAATTTTGATCTTCTGCTTTCTTCTTGAAGTAGGTGGGGCATTCTTTTGAATTAAAATAAATTCTGGGTTGTCTGGCTTTGAATTTGAACTACAAGTCAAAAAACATCCAAATATTACTCCCTTTGAGGGGGAATGGTTTAAAATAAATTTCAAAGAAGAGGAAAAACATGAAGAGCTTAGATTTGTTTTCATAATTCGCACCATTTTGCCATGTTCCTACTAAAAAAAAAATTAAATTTGATTTCTAGTGAAAATTACTAAAATTTTATACACTTGAATCACCATTTGTTTAGTAAAATTTTCCTAAATTTAATTAAAGTCTCTTTGCTAATACACTTAAGTCAATCCAAGATGATCAATAAGCTTACTTCATTTTTTAAAATTATATATTTCTCTCTAAAGGCAATAATGTACACATTGATTCATATGAAGTTTAGTGTGCGGTAAGCAAAAAATTCCCAAGAAGTAGAGGAAAATCAAGAATTACCACCAAATAAATTCTAAATTTAGTGATTATAGTAATATTGGTTAAGAAATATATATTTAACCTTTGCTGGAATATTACCTTCTCAATGAGGCCTACCCTAACCTCCTATTTTCACTGCAGGCAACATATCCCTCCTCCTCATCTCCCTTGAACCTGCTCTATTTTTTGCAATGCGTGTGTTACCTTCTTACAAACTAAATAATTTACTTAATTTGTATTTGTTTTGTTTATTTTCTGTTTTCTCCACTAAATTCTAAAATGCACACAGGCTGGAATTTTTGTCCATTTGTTTATTTGTATCTCAAATATCTAGAACAGGGACTGCCATAGAGTAAGCATTTAGTAAATATTTGCTGAGTGAATGAATAAATTCAGTAGTATTTTCTCAAATAATGATAATTAGATTAAGACAACTCATTCTGTGCAGAAACTATAACAAGAAAAGAAGCAAACTGATAAAGGTTGAAAGATAAATCTCTGGATCAGATTAATTTCATCTTTTTCCAGCTTTATTGAGATATAGACATATAACATTATGTAAGTTTAAGCTGCACATGTTGATTTGATACAATGATATACTGCAAAATGATTACTACCATAGCATTAGTTAACACTTCCATCACATTACATAATTACCATTTCTCTTTTGTGTGAGAACATTTAAGATCTACTTTTTTAGCAACTTTCAAGTATATAGTAAGTATTATTAATTATAACCATGCTGTACATTATATCCCCAGAACTTATTCTATAACTGGAAGTTTGTACCCTTTGATCAACATCTTCCCATTTCCCCCACCCATAGCCCCTGGTAACCACCATTCTACTCTGTTTCTATGAGTTTGGGTCTTTGAGATTCCACATATAAATGATACCATGCAGTGTTTGTCTTTCTCTGTTTGGCTTATGTCACTTAGCATAATGCTGTTATAATGACAATCATTCCAACAGGTGTGAGGTGATAACTAATTGTGGTTTTGATTTGCATTTCCCTGATGATTAGTGATGTTGAACACCCTTTTGTATGTAACCGTTGACTATTTGTATGTCTTCTTTGGAAAAAGATCTATTCAGTTCCTCTGCCCATTATTAAATTGGATTGTTTTTGCATTGAGTTGTATATTTTGGATATTAATCCCTTATCAGATATTTGATTTGCAAATATTTTCTCCCATTCCATAGGTTGCCTTGTCATTTTTCTGATTGTTTCTTTTGCTGTGCAGAAGCTTTTTAGTTTGATGTAATCCCACTTATTTACTTTTTTTGTTTCTTGTGCTTTTGGTGTCATAGCTAAAAAAATTGTTGCCAAGACCAATGTCAAGGAGCTTGTTCTATATGTTTCCTTCTAGGAGTTTTATGGTTTCAGTTCTTATATTTAAACCTTTAATCCACTTCAAGTTAGTTTTTGTGAGTGGTGTAAGATAGGGGTTCAGTTTTATTCTTCTGTGTGTGGTTATCCAGTTTTCCCAGCATCATTTATTGAAGAGACTATCCTTCCCTCATTGAATATTCTTGGCTTTTTCTCAAATATTAGTTGACTGTATATGTGAGAGTTTATTTCTAGGCTCTCAATTCTGTTCTATCGGTCTATGTGTCTATTTTTATGCCAATATCATACTGTTTTGATGAATATAACTTTATAGTATAGTTTGAAATCAGGGGTATGATACCTTTAGCTTTGTTCTTCTTTCTCAGGATTGCTTTGACTAT